CAGTGGCACACACACACACACACACACACACACACACACACACACACACATATATATATGGAGAGAGCACGAGAGAGAGCCTGCATATATATATATTTTTTAATCAGTGGTACTAAAAGTAACAAAAGGAAAATAAAAAAAAAACACCAGTATCCAATATATTTTACATCTACAGTGTCATCTGGCTTATTATCTTTGGTTCCAAAGAACTGCAACAGTAATGTTCAAAATAATTTGTATTGCAACAATATAAATTAACTTGAAACCACATAAAATAGTTAAAAAAAAAAGAAATTTAAAGTTGAATAATTAGTTCTTAAAACTATATAAATGTATGCAACAATTTGCAAAAGCTGAATTTAAAATATTAAATAGAATCATATAGAAATCATTACTAAAAATATTCAATTCCACTTAGGGGGCCCCTTAGTGGCCCTGGGGCCCTAAGCAGCCGCTTAGTTTGCTTGTGCTTTGGGCTGGCCCTGACAAAAATGACAATAGACAGAATTATGCAAATCAGGACCTTTATGGAGAGAGAATCTTTATTAATTTTATGAATCACAGTTTAGACATGTTTTGAGAGTGGTTGTGCAAATCACAAATGTTTTTTTTTAATAAATGACTGCAAGTTAAAAGTTTTGTTTTTTTCTTTGTTTTTTTTTTTTTTGGGGGGGGGGGGGGAGCAAAATGTTACTGCCTAAATGTGTAAGAAGTCATACAACAAGTAAAAATAGCTCTGTAATCTTATTGTTGCATGAAATTTAATTTTGGCAAAACATACTGTATGCTTGGAACAGCCAGTATATAAAGTTGAATGTGCTGCATGTAGATAACTACTGAGATACACAGGATTGTTTAGTCCACTTCCTCGATAGTTGGACCAGAAGAAGCTCCAGCTCCAGCTCCACCAGGAAAGCCACCAGGCATTCCTCCTGGCATTCCTCCTGGCATACCACCCTGGTACAGCTTGGACATGATGGGGTTGCACACCTTCTCCAGTTCCTTCTGCTGGTGTTCGTACTCATCCTTCTCAGCCGTCTGTGTAAAAGAAGGTGAAAATAACACAATCTGACACAAGAGTTGAACCGTATAAAAAGAGAAAATATTGAAGGAAAGTGGGTACTCATTCTCAATATTCTGTGAACGCAATTTCACAATTTGAACAATAAAGGAACCCTTTTTCTGTTACAAAACCTCAGTTAAATCTATATGGTATTTACCTGGTTTCTGTCCAGCCAAGAAATTACTTCATTGCACTTGTCCACAATAGCCTTTTTGTCCTCAGGACTGATCTTGTCTTGGAGCTTCTCATCTTCCACGGTGCTCTTCAAGTTGAAGGCCAAAGACTCGAGTGAATTTTTGGCTGTGATTTTGTCTCTCTGCGATTCATCTTCCGACCTGAACTGCTCTGCTTCTTGCACCATGCGCTCAATGTCCTCCTTGCTCAGCCGCCCTGTTTGGAAATAAAATACAAAACATTTATTTCTTTAATATTTTTTTAAATGAAAAACATTCTCCCATTTTTTTTTAAAGCATTGTTATGCTTCATTTATGGTTAAACCTTTGTCATTGGTGATGGTGATCTTGTTCTCCTTTCCTGTGCTTTTGTCCACTGCGGACACATTGAGGATACCATTGGCATCAATGTCAAAGGTCACCTCAATCTGAGGGACACCTCTGGGAGCAGGTGGAATACCAGTCAGTTCAAATTTCCCCAGGATATTATTGTCCTTGGTCATGGCTCTTTCTCCTTCATAAACCTGTAAGAGTCATTAAAATATAGTTTAAATAATATTGAACTTTTGGAATACTTGGGAACATTTCTGTGAACTGTTACTTGTGGTGCGTTCTACCTGAATGAGCACACCAGGCTGGTTGTCTGAGTAGGTGGTAAAGGTCTGGGTTTGTTTGGTTGGGATAGTGGTGTTCCTTTTGATAAGGACAGTCATCACTCCTCCAGCTGTTTCAATTCCCAGGGACAAGGGTGTGACGTCCAGCAGGAGCAGGTCCTGGACATTCTCAGACTTATCACCAGCCAAGATGGCTGCCTGTACAGCTATGAGTTTCCAAATAATAAATGTAGCATTACTAGAAAGTTTCTAGTTGAAATACTGTATGACATTTAAATGCATTTGAGAACAAGTTTAAATTAAATTGTACGTAGCACTACCTGCTCCGTAGGCAACAGCTTCATCTGGGTTGATGCTCTTATTTAGGTCACGACCATTGAATAAGTCCTGCAGAAGCTTTTGGATCTTGGGGATACGAGTAGATCCACCCACCAGGACAATGTCATGGATCTGGGATTTGTCCATCTTGGCATCTCTCAGGGCTTTCTCCACGGGCTCAAGTGTTCCCCGGAACAGGTCTGCATTGAGTTCTTCAAAACGAGCCCTGGTGATAGAAGTGTAAAAGTCCGTGCCTTCATAGAGGGAGTCGATCTCAATGCTAGCCTGGGTGCTGCTGGAGAGGGTGCGCTTTGCACGCTCACAAGCTGTACGCAGACGACGTACAGCTCGCTTGTTGTCGATTATATCCTTCTTGAACTTGCGCTTGAACTCAGCAATGAAGTGGTTGACCATACGGTTGTCAAAGTCCTCACCACCCAAATGTGTGTCACCTGCTGTGGCTTTGACTTCAAAGATGCCGTCTTCAATTGTCAGAATTGACACATCAAAAGTACCACCACCAAGATCAAAGATGAGGACATTACGTTCACCTCCAACCTAAGATAAATGGATTAAAAAATAAGTTGCAGAAAAAAAGGGTGACATTAGCATTTGAATGGTCAGGTAGTGAATTACCTTTTTGTCCAGACCATATGCAATGGCTGCAGCTGTAGGTTCATTAATGATACGCAACACATTGAGACCAGAGATTGTTCCAGCATCTTTGGTGGCTTGACGCTGGGAGTCATTGAAGTAAGCAGGAACTGTGATAACTGCATTTGTCACAGGCTAAAAAAAAGGTAGTTTCTTCAGTTAATGAACTATACTTGTCAGCATATTGTACACAGAACTTAAGAGAAAAAAATAACCCTTGTAAATCTTAAGTCAAGAGTACACTTTGTATTTGAAATGTTGTATTATAGACCCTTTTTACATACCTTCCCAAGATAAGCTTCAGAGATCTCCTTCATTTTGGTGAGAACCATTGAGGAAATCTCCTCAGGATAGAAGCTCTTGATCTCACCCTTATATTCAACCTCCATCTTAGGTTTGGTGGAGTCATTAATAACCTTGAAGGGCCAGTGTTTCATGTCAGACTGCACCACAGGATCGTCATACTTGCGTCCAA